AATGTTCAATGTTGTTGTTTGCATTGTTTCAGAGATGTTCATTTCACTTAACGGTACATTCCCAGGCTGCCAGTTGTGGTGCTATAACATCATTTAGCCTTATATGGAGAGGTGTTGGTGTAATTGAGTTGGGGAACAAATACATACGTTGGTTAATGTCTGTCCACTCATCAGGTCATCTCTCAGACCTGGAGGAGGAGGAGGAGGAGGACCAGGAGGAGAACGAGGAAGAGGCCGTTGACGATGACGACGACGACGATGACAGCAGCGTGGAGGAGATGAGGAGCGAGGGGGAGGAGGAAGACGAGGAGGAGGAGGAAGATGAGGAGGAGGAGGAGGAAGAACATGACCACAGCGAGGCTTACAGCTTCAGCCCAGGGGAGGAGGAGGACGAGGAGGAAGAAGAGGAGGAAGAAGACGGTGAGGATGACAGGGTTCCCGCGGGGTCTTAAATATGATCCAAAAAATAAGGAAGATGTGATTTAGAAGGTTTTAACCCTCCTGTTGTCTTCGGGTCAAATCTGACCGATTTACTACTTTCATCAATCATAACATTCTACTGCTTTAAGGCTTTATGATATCCTTCACAGTAGACATTTCAACATATACATTGCTGATCACCACTTTCATTGGATTTTGGATGATTTAGTCAACTTTGTAACACCCATGGTGTTCCCGCCATAAAGAAAAGGAATTAGTAACCATCCGGATCAGATAACACACACACACACACATACTCTAGATGTGTTCCCCCCCCACGTTTGCCCATCCCCCCCATATGAATCACACCTGGCACTCACAAACACACACATACACACACACAGAACAATTTGACACATTTCCCGCTCTTATGTGCCCCTCCCCCCACATGGATCACACGCAATACATGTTCAGTGTCTATTCTTTGTATATTTACTGCAGTGTTTCATGTATACCAGTAGTCTGATACAATATGTACAGTTTGAAAGGGTGTTAAATGACATTTGGTGATGATTAATGTTTTTTGTGTTAATGTAATAGCAGTTAAAACAGGACCGGTCAACACCAAAGTAAGGGGGGGAAACGAAGACAATAGGAGGGTTAAAAATGATGGGATTTGAAAGGTACTTCTGTGTTGCGATAGCGTCTAAATGTGTTTTGGGGAAAATGTCCGGGCTGCAAAGTAACCAGTACGGTAAGAGCCTTTCAGTTCCCCCCATCAATTTGTATTGACATAAATCAACATGGAACCAGTAATCACTAACTTTGCATCCCCCGGCCCCTTATCGGAGAACACCCAGCTAGTAACCTAGCAACCAAGCTTCAGCTAGCAGCAGTCATACAAATAAATATGGGGAAGTGTAAGTGCAACCGTATTTAGTTGGAAAACATCAAATGTCGTGCTTGGTTGAAACCAGTGGAGGGGAACGTGTTTGAAGCCCGCTGCACCTTTTGCAAACAAAATGTAGCGGTTTTTTTGTTCAAAAGTAGCGTTAGCTAGTGCAGCAGCCCCCGCAACAACATCGCGGTCCTCTGGGCGACGTTTGGGTCTACGTCAGGGGTGCCCAACCTTTTTTGAACCGAGAGCTACTTTTAAAGTTGCCAGTCTGCCCGAGATCTACCAGTCCAAATAGAGAGGCGTAGCCATTACTGACAGCCTACTACCAGGTAAATACACACTTCTACTTGTATAAAACTGACCTTTGTACAATTTAATACTTCATAAAATACTGCAGATCCTTTATCTTACCTCTTTCTAATCTACACACATACAAGTATTTAACTGAAGTTACACAATTGTTGTTGATACAGAGTTGGAGTTTATTCACACGTCACTACAGTGGGTAATGTTTTCAAGAAACATTGAACAGTGCTGCCACATATGACACAGGAAAAAAGAAAAGACTCTGAACCCTTTCTTTGCCATTATATAAAAATAGTGTTGCTACAAAAGTAGCAGTTAGTTAGTTAGCAGTTAGCAGTTAATTAGTTAGGCTTACTAATAAGACAACTCAGATCTGAAGCTACACAGGAATCTGCTGCCAAAGTGCAATAAAAAAGACAAAATGAATAGAATCAAACCCTTTTTTTGTTGCATTTTAGTAGATTATAAAAAGAAATGCCTTTTTTAAAATAGGATGCAAGCAACACTAGTTTCTTAACCTGAATTGATAATAGACTATAATCAATTTAAACAGAACAGATCTGAATGTTTGCATTCTTATACCATTGTGTACAATAATTATAATGAATAAGTTCAAACAAACTAAAACTTACAGCTGATTTAATAACGGTATCGGACTTGAGTTTTTATTATATCAAAAACCTGTTGAAATGCTACTGTTATTTTTACTGTCCCCAAAATGCGCGTCGGCAGCCTCCAGGAATGCTTCTTTCACAACTTCGCCGTCTTTGAAAGACTTCATGTGTTTTGCAAGAACGTGACTGACACGATAAGATGCTCTGGTAGCAGCCTTGCTCTTGTTGTTGGGCCTGGTGAAAATGGACTGCTGTGCATTTAGCTGTCCTTTCAGGCCCCTCCCCTTTTGGAGCGTAGGGCAGAATTAGGAGGGAATTCCGTCTCGTAGCGTTTGTGCACTGTTTTGAAATGCCGCTCCTAAATTACCCTTCTTCGATAAAGCCACGCTCGCATTGCAGATGAGACAGATGGACTTTGAATTGGAATAGATACAAAAATAATCATCCTCCCACTCGGAGTGAAAATTATATAGGCCTATGTTGGGCTTTTTTGCTTCTGCCATAATTGCGGTCTTGTGTGTGTGTGCGGACTGTCACTCCTGTTGACACGGACAACGTCAGCGAAATACTGCCCAATGCCCACCAGCCACGCCCCGACACATGGGGTCACGCCGGCCAATCACAAAGCTTTGATGCGTTCAAGTGCATTATTCTGGACAGGAAGATTATGTTTCAGGACATTAACATACAACAGAATGTTGTTGTTCTATTTTTAGACACATCTCGCGATCGACTGGGAATCTCCCCGCGATCGACCGGTCGGGCACCCCTGGTCTACGTCAACCCTAAAAGCGGAGGTGCTTTGAACGCTTAATACATCATACAACAGCAACGATGAAAGATTGTAGCCAAGGGAGCAGAGCTCAGAAGATAGCTCTCATCACACACACACACACACACACACACACACACACACACACACACACACACACACACACACACACACACACACACACATACACATACACATGCACATTTACTTTGTAAGTAATTATGGGACGTATTTCTTCTTTCATAGCAATTTTCCTTCATAGCTTCTTGCTGTGAAATAGGTCTTAAATTCTATTCAAAGTGGTCTTAAAAAGTCTTACATTTGAGTTTGTGAAACCTGCAGGAGTCCTGGATGATACCAATGATGGAGAAGAGGAGGACGAGGAAGAGGGAGTTGTTTAACCCAGGATTTGTAAACATATATTTTTACACCTATTAAAGCACTTTGGACTCGAGCAGCTAGCACACTTTGCCTCCTACAATATTCTGAAAGGACACTCTGGATGAACACAGAGCTTCGGTTCGGCTGGATCTTAAGGCTAACTCTGCACTGAGAATCTGCCAATGTGAACGTGGAGCTCAACCCCGGTTGCATTGAACTTTACAAAGGTGCTTTATAGTAGGAGACGTGTACATACAAATGTAAAAGGACAGAATGTGGCTGGAAGGACTCGAACAGAAGGAGTCCAAACCTCAGCATGGATTTTCTACAACTTTGGTTAAAACTTTATGGTGAATTTGCCGAATCAGAATTTGATCTAACCTTTTATCTGTAGATCTTTTGATATAATGACCGGTGCTCAGCAGAGAGAGCTTTTGAAGTTCCTTACATTCAATAAGAATAAGTGTTTGAATTCCTTGAGTTTCTCATTGCCATAGAAAGCTTTCTGATCTTTGTAAACAGGCCACCATTTGTTAACTGAAGGACAGCGAACATGCAAGGCTAGTAACGAGCTACTTGAATGAGTCCTGCGTGAATATGATTGTTTCATTTATGCTACAGTTACACATTGCAAGCCAAAGTGTGTGTGTGTGGAAAAAGTTTTGTTTGGTTAGCATTACATTAGAAATGCTATGTGCTAATAACAGTATACATAGGCTATAAGATGAATTTGCTTTTCGTAGTTGTGCTTTAAAAGCAGTTCATGCATTGTTTAAAATGTTCTATGCACAGTTCATACATTGCTCCCAAAATATCACTTTCAGATGTTGAGGAATTTTGCACTTTACTACTGAAACATGTTGTGTTCGGCCCGAAAATGAATGTTCAAGACTGATTTTAATTTTGATACGGGTGACTTTGTGAAGGGCCTAAATAAAACGAGATGTATACATACGAATAATAATAAAGATTATCGAAATGTGCCCAGTTGTTTAGCTGTCTTTTTGTGAATTCATTTTAAGAGCATGATTTAACTTTAATGTTGTGTCTAGAATGGCAGAAAATAAGGGGGTTGGAGATACATAATCTACATTTAACTTAACTACATTTTAGAAGTTAATAAGACTGAATTTCATTACTGAAGTGGCTGAAAAAGAAACATGATGTGGGCAGTAGTTCAAGAACAAGGCAAAACATAATTACTTCTTCATGTAATAATGACCATAAGACATTTTGAGAAAGCATTAATTAATAAATGGATTTTTAGCATAAATACAAATATTTATGATTCCATAACTTTAAATCCACAGTTTGAGTCTGAAATCAGGCTATAATAGTTTTCAGAAGAGAAGTGTCATTTTTGTATTTAAAGAAAAAAAAACTATTTTCACTACCAGCCTTATTAACAACAACAATTTATCATGCACAAAAAGACAACACTGTAAACAACGCAATGACAGTGAAGCCTAACTTTCACAATTTAAACATAATACATACATTAACAAGTCAATATAATATATATTACAGCATATGACGTGATTCCCCAAATAAAGCAACACAAAATCAATATTAGAGGGAAAGTCCGAACGTGATTCCTGTCCCGGAACCTTCGTTCTGGACACAAATACGGACGGACTCATCTCTGGTGCACACTTCCGGTAGCAGCATGTCATGTATTTTGAACGCTTTTAACAAACATTTAATGTAAGCAAACATCAAGCGTGTGTTGTCTTTTAACACAGACATAAGGAGGTCGAGCTATGAACGCGGTCTTTCGAAAGGTAACTATATTTGTATGTTCTCTGCTAAATGTTGAGTTTATTCACAGAGGTCAAAGCTGCAGCTCTGATACTTTCAGTTTTTTGTTGTTGTATCTGACTGTTACATTAACATTAGTTCCATATCAAACCAGGGTTAACAGTCACTGTTTTGCACGGGTATGTTTGTGAGCTTTTGTGCAGATTTGACTTGAATTATATGGTGTTCTTCTCTCGATTAATCACCCTGAGCACAAGTTCGATTAACCCTCCTGTCGCGTTCGTTTCTCTTCCCTTGTGTCTGTTGTAACCATGGATGTATACTAAGAACGTTGTAACTGCTCTAACATTAACACAACAACCATTCATCATTACCACTTTTTAATACATACCATATCAATCTTTAAACAATGTCTCAGACTACTGGTTTACATTCTGCAGTGAATATACAAAGAATAGACGCCGAAAATGTTTTCCAAAAATGTCAATGGTTGTTGTTTTTGGTTGTGTAATATCTTGGGTTACCCATTCATTTTTGACCAGGAACACCAATAGTTGTTATAAAGTTGACTAAACCACTCATAGCTCAATGAAAGTAGGGATCAGCCGTTGTTTATGTTCAATTATAACAACTCCAGTACAGGCGTACGGACCGAGGCGCTTGCCGCAGTACTGTCGTACCAATAATGACGTTAAAGAACGGCCTCTCGTGTATGATTGCTTAAATGCCTACTGTTGAGAATAGCATAAGGCCATGAAGAAATCAAATGTAAAACACTAGATTTATGATTGATGTAGTAAATCGGTCAGATTTGACCCGAACACGATAGGAGGGGCTTTGATATCTCTTCAACCATCAGTAAAAAAAAAAACTAAAATAAATATAAAACGTTGAAAGTTAGAACCAGTTTGGTATCGTCAAGGGATTATCTAATAACAATTGGTCCATTTAAATCAATTTTTAATGTTCAATTGAACAAGCTAGCCATAGACTACAGCTGAAGAAATACACCCCAAAACCCACTAATCTGCATTTACCAGGTTACATTGTTACATGTAACCTTGCAGTGTATTTAGCTTTTAACGTGATTTATACAATAATAACATCTTAATCTAACCAACAGCATATCTATACCAGTACTGGGTAGTATGGTACTGCCAGAATACTTTAATACATAGCATAACAATCATGTGATTTCAGCAAATATTGCCTGTGTGTCTTTCATTAAAATGTAGGGATTTTGTATTCAAAATGTGTTAAAACTAGAATATAGAGAAAGCTATGTTGTAGCTGATGATATTATTTGTTTCCAGTTGCAGGCGTCTGCCACCCAGCAGGCCTTTGTGTTGAATCAAGCACTAACAACATGCAGGTAAGTCTTTTCAAATGTAATGGCTGTGATCATTCGTAGATCCTAAGCTCACATAAACCCTTTTTTATTTTACCCTTAGACTTCAAACATTTCCTTTCAACTTGTGTATTATTTCAAATTGTGTTGCCATGTTTGTTGGTTATGGTCACATTTGATGCATTTAAGTAACTGCTGAGATTTAGTTAGGCGGCGACATCTACGCCAAACATCTCAACAAAAGTGGGGTGAGATGATCTGATTAAATTATAAGTAAATCAGAAGTTAAAAACAAATATCTAAGCCACCTAATTTGGTAGGAATCACCAATATAAGAAATGGAAAAAATACTTAGAAAATAAGAATCTAAAGTTATACTAAAAGGCAACTATCCAATTTGTTGCAGGTGTACACCCATCAGTTGTTATTTCTAAGAACGGTGATATGATCCCTTTCTTTAAATCTAACTGTTTTCTAACTAATACTTGTGTGATTACAGAGCAACGCCATCCATCCAGCATCCTGTTTGGGGTGAGTATTTCAAAGACTACAATGAATACAACACATAGTATGTAGAAAACGTTATTTTTGAAAAATATGTGTTTACAGAATATGTATTAAATTGACGTTTGTTCTCTTCACCCTCAGCTTCTGTAAACGAGAGACAATATAAATCCATGCCCACCCACGGGATCGGGAGGTGGAGATATCTTTTACCTAAAGATCCGGTACGACTCTTTAAACTGGATTTCATTTTAGAAAGAATAGTTGATGCCTCTAAATGAGCTGTAGGTGCATTCATGAGATCATGCAGATAGTTTCCAGAAACCCAGACCTTTCATGTAAGGCTGTAAGAAAATAACTTCTAATGGAAGGTTCTTTTTGTTGTCGTTGAAAAATGACATTATATATGCAAGAATCAGAATTCCTTTATTAGTGGACATTGTTACAGCAGAAGTGAAGATAGAGGCACCAAATAAAACTCTATTAGATAAAGGGCATGCACATAATGGTTAAAATACAAAAGGGAAAGTTATTCCAATTTACATTACATTGCATTTAGCTGACGCTTTTATCCAAAGCGACTTAGTGATAATAATACAATAAGTGCGTTCGACCAACAAAATACAAACTTGAAGAAAACAGAGTCATATAAGTCCATCAGGTTTCATAGAGCTAAAACATTTCAAGTGCTACTCAACTGGCTTTAGATAAGCCAGCCCTTTATTAGTATATAAGTGCTTTGTTAATAGTTCTATCGATCGAAGTGGAGTCGAAAGAGAATGACATATTGCACACAAGTGTTATACTTCCTTCAAGCATGGAGCATTGTAATTACATCGCACACATTTTGAAAAGCCAACGCTGATGAATGGACAAGGAAAACATAGACAGAAAATAATATCACGGATAAATATTTGACGTAAAACTAACTAACTAACTAACTGACTGACACTCAAAACTCCTATTTTTTTAATATTTGGGACGAGAGTAGTTATGGTGAAGTTTTAGATCTTCATTTACAAATGTACAAGTATAAAGTGTAAAACATGAGATTGTGAGGAAACATGAATTGATTAACGAGATTTCCTGCTGATGGTAAATGCTACTTTTTTCCTCAATGTAAATGTAATTGTTTTCATGCAATAGTATAAAAAAGAAGAAAATAATACAAACACCAAACTTTATTTACTTTTTTGGGCAAATTGTAAATGTATGTCCTAGCTTAAAGGGGACCTATCATGCAAAATGCACTTTGTGATGTCTTTTATATATAAATGTGTCCCCGGTGCGTCGGGGAACTCACGCAGCGTCAGAAAATAAAACCCTCTCTCTTTTCCTCCGTACCCAAATCTTTTAAAAACGGGGGTACAACGAGCGGATACAGATTTGCTGCCGATCTGACGTCAAATCGGCGACGGACCCACAGAAAGTTGCTATCAGAAACAATGCCTGACGTGTTTTGGACGTAATCTCGTCTTTGTTTACATTAGCAAGCCTCGCTAACACTCAGAGCTAACCTGTACTGGAGAGCATGTGTGTTTTAAAAAGCAGGAAACAAAAAAGAAACTCACCTTGTGATAAACCTGCAAGAGAAAAAGCATTTGAGCTCCATACTGTTTCAGAGATAATCCTTGATGTGGTTTAGAACAGGATGACGTTTTATCACAGCAGAATTTAACTTTATCTCCGGTAGAATTCTGATCAGGCATTAGCTCCACCTCCTCTTATTTATTTTTTTCAAGCTAAGGACCCAAAATCCGCGTTTCTCTAACAGGGCTGAAAAAGAGGGGTATGAGCAGAATGAGGCATGGCTACAATGTGTGATCTGTTTGGTATTTTAAGCAAAAACCTTCACAGACATGTTTTATATAGGTTTGGCCCTACAATATATTTTTCAAATATAGCATGATAGGTCCACTTTAATTGAGTGGGAGGTCAATAGGAAATAGTGAATGTATAGAGCGCCCTCTGCTGGACCTAAAAGGCAAAATATTTCAACGGTCTGTGAGGCTGTGCATTTTCTGAATAGATCATCACAGTTTGAGTATTTACATTTACTCAAATGTTTACCCTACTCTTCAGTGGGTTTGATCTGCATAAGGCTGGAAAACAACTGCGTTTTAAATGTCTGCTGTAATTAGTTTTTGTTGTTTTCAGCCAAAGAAGAAGAGGGACAGGCAGCAGATGAAGGAGATCGTCGTGGAGACGGAGACGACGTACGCCACTCTGAACGTCAACGTGTCGGGTTACGACATGACGGTGGTGGAGCATTTCTCCCAGCACATCCACAACCTCTGCAACCGGCTGGGCATCAAAGTGTTGGACTGGTGAGGACATTCAGATGTAACCGTGTGTGTGTACGTTTAGGATGATCAAATATGAGTCTAGCATGGATGTTGCTTTTAATTGATGCAGTTAAATCTGGTATTTTACCATTGAAACTGGGCTTTTTGTTTTCTATAGTTTAGTGAAATCATATTTAGTGTGATTTATATTATTGTTGTTCATATATAAATCATTTGAATGAACCACTTAGGAGAATAAAAGCCTTCATCACGATAAACTGGAGGCTTCTAAGATATATTTTATTGGGTTAGTTCATTTGAAAGCACGTAAAAATACTTATAAGTTTGGTTTTGTATATTTATAATCTAAAGATGCGTGTTTTGTAAAATAGCAAAGTATTCTATCCCTTACAAAAAGTGACAAGCCATAAACACATTTTTCCAACTGTAATCCAGTCATTAAAGTTGAATCTTCAACTGTAAAGCACAAAAGGATGTTTACAATTTTATATATATTTATTTTATTGTTTTTCTCACGCAGCTATGCTTTGCAAACCAAGACCACCGAGGTCTGGCTGATGCAGGAGCAAGGAACCAAGATGTCTGTGGACTCCTTCCTGAAGACTCACAACCGAGTCGTGCAGGTACGACTCTTCAGGTTTCCTTTCCACTCAAGTAATGCATACCTTGTTTTTTTAGAAGTATTTAAAAATCTGACATTTGAACTGCGTTTGTCTTTCTAGTTAAGAAGTCTGAACGCCACCATGTGTCCTATTTTCCTGGAGGTTCTTTTGAAGAATCAACCAGAGGGAGTGCAGCTCTCTGTGCAGGAGGTAAGTTAGTCACATTATACTGAAGCTATGCTGGGAATAATGTGGACATTAGACACATCTTAGTCAAAGAAAATTCCCAAATTGGGATTAATAAAGTACATCTAATCTTATTTTAAATAGCTCTAGAAATGTCTTGATTTTCCGATTTTCTGTTGTAGGTCTGTTGGTAAAACATTTTTAATTTCCGGAGATAAGTGTCCAAACCCAAATTTAATAAATAGGAACCAGATTAAACACCTAATCATTATGCATACCCCTAAAGTCTTCATTAGAGTCAGAAACACATCTTATTTATGTTTTAAAACTTTATTAATCAAGAGTCATTTACAAACCTTTAAGGCACTTATTTTAGTCAATAACATTGAATGGTGCAAATACAGTATATATAAAATAAATGTTGAATGTTTTGCTTTATGTAATCAAGTGACTTAGTGACAAACTCTAACCACACACATCTGTCATGGACACCCGTTATCTCACACTAATGATTCATCTTCCTGTTTCCTCTCAGCACACAGAGGTGGATTACAAAACTCGCTTCAAGGGCCGTCCTGAACTCGAGGGTCTCAAGGCGAAGATCAGCCACTAGGACCCCAGACTCACCTTCTTCACTTTCCTGACTCCTTAAACTGTTTCTCACTCACATGTTAGATCTGGTTACCTGTGTTTTAATTGTTTGTATTTATTCACTGCTGTTTAAGGTGATAATTTGCATAAAAAAAGAACTGTACACATTCATGTTTGACTTTCTTTTGTGACAATTTGAAGACAATAAAACTACGTCTATTTTCTACAACGCAAGACATTGTCATATTTACTGCTCAAATTACAGTTACTTTATTTGTTTTAACATTTCAACGACATACCATTTATTTATTTTTTGGCACTAAAGAACCAAACCAACAAAAAAAACTTCAATCTCTTCATTAGTCATACAAACCTAACATTATGTACATTAAGTCAAGCACGTTGCAATACAACATCAAAAGTCAAAGATTCTTTCTCTCATTTCTTTGATGAATTAATCTACTCACAAAAGCTTTAGAACTGCAATAGATAAAAAAAAGTATTTCAACATAATATCTGTCTTTTGAACTGGACATACATTGGGTTTACATCACCTAAGATATTAAACATGGAAAGAAAGATATATACATGTCTAATGTGTAGTTATAAAGCGCTTTGAGTGCCTTGAAAAAACACTCTAATAAAAAATAATTATATATTATTAATATATGAAAAATATATAAAAAATAAGTCATGACTTTCAGGGTTTTCACAAATCCACTAATAAATCACTAAAATAGGTACTTTTTAAAAGAGTTTAAGGAGCTACATATCGTCACTCTGGTCTTCTGAGTGCTGATGATATTAAACTGTACCGTGGCACTGATTTTCACAGCAGATGCTTCAATCGTCCATAACAATACAACCTTTTACTTCCCCATACTTCATTCTGATCCCTGAAGCTCAGAAACAAGAGCCCCCCCCCCCCACTCTTCATCCTGTCGAAACAACTCACATCGTAGGTCTCAGAGATCACCTTATTTTCCTTGAGTTAATCCAGGAAAGGTTCTGTATCGTTCACTGTTTATCAGAGCTGCCTGATGGCGATCCACGAAATGCTGGGGAAAAAAGCAAAGGAAAAAAAAGTAGAATTTCTAGTTATGTGTTAAATTCTACATCAAGAAATCCCTTATCAATCCAACGTTGCTCGTCTTACTTTGTTAATGATCAGCGCTTTATTTTGGTAGTCTCCTGAAATAAAAAAAAGTCACAATGCTGGTGGTTTTTTCCTGAAACTTTCAGAGTCTCTTTACACAGAGGGGAGGGGACACATGCTTATGTATAAAAGACATGAAAAGGTGGATTTGCATAATAGGTGACCTTTAAAACATTGCTGTAGTTCCTTAAAGGGACCTCCAGCAAAACAACATATTTGTCGTCTTAGCTGTTGTTCTATTTATCAATACCAATTGTTGTTTTGGGTTTATTTGCAGAATGTTGGAGATATCAGGCTTCAGAAACATTTACCTTGTCTTGGATATAGTCAAATGTGATGGCACTCAACCACTTCTGCGTAATGATACGCTAGAAAAAAATAGTTCGTAAGTGAAACAAGATATGTGGATTATCTTGAGTAACCAGTTCATTATTTATAGAAAGAGACTTTGAGTTATTTCAAATGTACTTCTTTGTCACTTTGAGCACAGAGTCGAGTGCCATCTAGTTCCATTATATTACAGAGCAAAGGAATATGTCTTTGGCTGATTTCTCTCACACCACAATTGATTAATAGCAAAGAAACTAAGAAGAAAGTGTATTTATGATTCGGGGGATTAACCCTTTTCCATCATGTGGGGTCAGTGCATAAAAATGTGTTACTGTACTGAAGAGGCAATCATTACCTATAGGTTTGAACCTCATCCACTCTGTTGACTTCAGGTTTAAGTTTTGTCAAATCCCTGGCATCCTGTTTTCAGAAGGGACCATTTTTTATGAGCAGTCATGGTTGTTGGAAAAGCAATTTAAATTAATATAAATAAACAAATAAAGAAAACGTACCATTTCATCGCCACAAGCTCCAAACTTCAACAACCCACATTGTTTGGAGGAATCCATCTCTGAGAGTAGTTCTGCCACACAGCACAATATGATTTAATTAGTGTTGAACACCACAATGACAATGACCTTTGTCACCAAAGAACACATGAAATATTAAGTGAGCATGACGTTATTTGTATGAATTTATAATGATGTAGAGTACATACTTGACATACTGAATGATCAAAATGTTTACCATGATCATCCATTTTGTTTCATGTTCGAATGATGGGAATTACACCTTGAACTATATTTAAAATGGCCAGATAGATGTTCAGTTATGCTTGAATTATAGTATCTTACCCTTCGTGTCTGCAGTTTCAGTCTGGATGGCAAATGCTACAGGACCTTTGATGGTGAATCCAAGGTAGAAGGAAACCTTGCGTTTTCTCCAGAGGCTGTTTTGGAGATTTGCAACCACCTCGATCTCTTTCCCATCAACAGTTGCAAAGAGTCTGTACTCTCGTATCTCCCCTTGAACTTTAAGAAGGCGTTCTTTGATCCATGGATCTTGGAAAATCTTTTCATCGCTCCAATCTTGCATTGTCTCCCAATCGCCCTGACGAGCCAACTCCTCTAGGACAGTTCTGTGAACTATCCTGTTCAGTTCTTGACCTTTTCCGAGGAAAAACAGAGGGCGAAGGTACCTTGAGCGAAAGTGTTTCGCATATGCTTGTTTATACAGGTCTTGCGTACGCTTAATCATTGCACTGAGGTCAAGGATGCATGCGTCTTCATTGCCTGTAGGCCAGTGCAAGAGGAGGGCTAACATATGGGCCTCAGGTTTATCCGTGAGGTACATTTCCTGTTTGAAGGCAGTTAAATGTTTGCAATCAGACTCTGGTGCTCCCATATTTCTTAACATGATATGAGCGAAGATGTTGTTGACCATAGCTGTGTCCGGATCTTTATGAAGACAGATTTCCTCCCACAATGTAGTTATTTCCTTAAGGTCCGATTCAGTGCATTCTCTGTCAAGACATGAGAGGACTCCCGTAGTGGTGCCAGCCTGTTTGAGTTTAAGCTTCTGGATCAGATCAGCGCCTTTTTCTTTCAAATGGCTGGATGTGGAGTCTCCAACATACTTCCTGTAGCAAGCCGAGGTTTGTCTTGAAATGTATTTTGGATCGTCTTCCTTTATGTCAGGCTTGGAGTAAGTCAGATACCCGTCAAGAAAAGCACATTTTTTCTCAACTGCATCTCTGAGTCTGTATATGAGATCATTGAATCTTAAAAGTGAGCGATCTCCAAGAGATGGCAGGGCCGAGCCCAAAGACACCTTCTTCGTGAGAACTCCTCTCCAAGTTGGGTTCTGACTGACAAGTAGGTCATACACAAGATTGCAGACCTGCAGGAAACCAAACATCCCTCTGCTGTTAAAGAAACGTGAGTCATGGACATTTCTTTTCACGTTTGTCCCAACTTCATCTTTGGCAAGTCTTTCTTCGTCTTCGAATGCTTGAATGGCCTTTAAGGCAAGAGCCAAAATGTGTCCTGGTTGGGCCGGTCGCCTCAGGTTCTTCAGACGGTTCTTATGGACTTGGCCAAGTGTATCAGCAACAACTGAATTTTTGGGATCTCTTTGCTTTGCCTCCTTTGCCCACATTTCTGCCTGATCGTAGTCTCTTAGTACTATGTAATGAAAACGAGCAAGTGCTTGTGGAAAAATCTGATTTTGATCAAACATATTTGTTGCCATCCCTAAAAGTGATACACACTGAGAGGCGTCCTCCTTTGTTTGAATATGTAGAATCAGTCGAGAAAATGAATCTGAAGCACTGCATTCTTTTTCTTTTGGTCTTCTTTTGGTTAGCATGTAGTTCACAAAAGCAGCCAAAGATCGAGGGACTTCATCTCTGCACAAACATATCAAGAGGTTTTTTGCTGTGTCACTTCTGGTCACACCTGCTTCAGCCATCAATTCAGTACAACACTGTGCTATCAGAGGGTGGGCCATGCGGACTCTTTTTTCAGAACCACCTTGTTGGATAGTGATAATGAGATGGCTAAAGTCGTCCAGCATGTCTTCCAGTGATATGTCTTCCAGTGATATGTCTCTATGGCTGTAGTTGGCATGTTTGAACACATCCAGGCACTGAGACTCAAGGAGATAAGAGTCTGGTACATATGCGTTCAGCAGGGAAAGGAAGGCAGCAAGCTGAGTTTTCTCTTGTATTCCTGTTTCTTTGATGGTTTTGAATACAGAGCACGCCTCCTGGATGTAAGCCTCAGAAAAATTGCTTTGCATTATGTTAAAGCCATGGAATCGTTGGCATTTATCACCGTACTGCTTGTTGAGCTCTGCCTTTTTGTCATTAAAATGATTCTTCTCTGAGTCAGAAAGCACTTCTTGAAGGAAGACGTCATCACTCTTTAAATCTGCATCTTCTCTAATACAGCTGAGTAAAACCACCACAGGCATACCGGTGACTATCTTCTGATTAGCAATCATCCTCATAATGCTTACTTGTAGATCTTCCAAAACTTGCACACCATTCACCAACAGCAGCACGGTCTTCTGGTCGCCTTGACTGCCTGCTGTGAAAAGGTGGACCACCTCCTCTGCAACCTTTGTGATGTCCGAGGTTGAGCCTGTTAAAACAGCACTCCTTAAAGTTTTCCTAAAGTCCCACAACACCTTCATGGCCAGTGTTGTCCCCCCACATCCTGGCTGGTGGAACAGTTTAACTGTTGATATTCCAGGGTGTTTTCTCAACTTGTGAATTTGATTTTCAAGTTTAATGTATCCATCTCGTTTAATGAAAGGAGATCCGGTGCCATCTAACTCTGCCTGTTCACTGATGTGGAAGTTTAACCATTCGGGTGGGGCCCCTCTGTAAAAGTTTTCCTCCGTCTCCTCAAGTATTTCTGGATTGAAAGACTTCCCTTCAAACTGATTTGCATGGAGAACGTCCAACAGTGAGAGGGAGCGTGTGACAGTGGACAGGGACGGTCCATTCGCCATCTTGGACTCTTAGTTTCCTGCAGCAACGGTATACACACAGATTGTAAATCACCTTAACCTTTTTATACATATATATATATATATACATATATTTAAAACCATAAATACATTCACACACATATAGGGATGGGTATCGTTAAGGTTGTAACGGTACTACTACTTTTATCGATATCGTTTATCGATCCGGTCCTTTAACGGTACTCTTATCGGTTCTTTTGAAAAAATTAAAAGGAAAATTAAAGGTAGGGTAAGTAAGAATGGAGAAACCAGCTTGAGTGCGCTAGAATTTGAAAGTACAGAACCGGGAAAAAATCTGCCCCTTCCTTCAGACTTCCTTACAGAGCCCCTCCTCCAACACACACAAACGCGCACATGACCAATGAGGGCACGAGATGGAAGACTGACAAGGTAGGCCATCCAATTATCTGCAGATAATTGGTCGTGCTTTTTACAGCGCCACAGCTTCCACAGATGAAATATTTGTATATATTTATTGTCAAAGCATTTAACTTATTCATTGCTATCGAGATGTTAAGAGCATTCCATGGAATATAACAAAAAGTGTTTCTGAAGTGAATTACCTACCCTACCTAACCTGTTTAACCCCATCGACCCGCCCCCAGGCGGAAAAACGCATAATCTGTAGGAAACAGCATCTGAGGGCTTCTTAATATTTAATAAACTATGAATGTGTTATATCCATGTAACGGGAAGAAACTCAGCTAACTGATCATTATTTTATTTTTTTTGCAGAATAAACCACAAAGCTAACGCTGAGCCTCGGAATTAGCCACGAGCAAAAAAATGCTAACGGCGGTTGTACAGAAACTCATTCATAAGACCCTTATTACTTATCATAGCTGCACATCCAACATATCGAATAGCATTGTGAGAAGACACAGAATCGATAGGTATCTAGATCATCACTCCATGATAAGAACTAGCAACTTTATAAACAAAAACAGACATCACATCAGATGGCGCTAGGTAGCAAACACGGCAAAATGGCTTAACTTGGTCGTTGTCTGGTCAAAATTTGTCTTCAATGGCATTAAAATGATAAAAACGAAGCTGAAGGTTAATCCATAGGTTAATCCAATGTGTCTGTGTCCCTTTGAAATGATTTCTGATAATCCATCAGCAATAAACCTACTTTTAAGTTTTCAGATTTCAGAGCATGAGACAGGTTTCGCTTCAGGCAAACTGCATGCGCGTAGCCCCCACTTCACAATGGTAACGTTGGTGTGTATGTGAAAATTCCCCTTCGATTCTATTGGCTCTAACGGTTACAAAGAGATGTCAATCACCAAAATCGACCAATGGGTTCCAGAGAAACGGCAACAACGCCCATTTCCACCCAAATGACCCCAGAGGTGGAGTTTATTTTTGCTAAATCTCTCTAAAAAGGTCAAATGTCATTTGTTTTCCATCAATCTTGATACAGGGTACTTATTATATGTTTTACTTTGGATTCCTAAAGCTTTCAGTCTACCTTACCATCATTCAAGGGTAGTTTTCTTTTCACTATAAGTAAAAAGTAATTTTTGGACGGACACAATAATTTACAGTTTTTTACCATGTTCAATCTCAATTTTCTTTAAAATAAAAAACATCTATATTGATTCTGACTTTTCTACATCCAACTCACAGGTGTATCATTACTTTGAGAAAACAAATTATAAAATTTTTTACAAGGTCAAAGATTATAAAGTTACCTCTAATCATCAACCCATGTTTGTATAATTGAGTTAACTCTGTGTGTTGCTGCTAGCATACACAATACCTGCACTTTTGCTAAATGTTTAGACAAATTGCTCGTGTTACCGCCCTTACATGCTAAACTCTTATTGCACTTTTGGCAACGAGCATTGTCCACATCGAGACCGAGACGGGTACAGTTTAACCACATCTTGGAGCGCTTGTGTGTGTGTGTGTGTGTGTGTGTGTGTGTGTGTGTGTGTGTGTGTGTGTGTGTGTGTGTGTGTGTGTGTGTGTGTGTGTGTGTGTATGTGTGTGTGCGCGTGCGTGTGTGTGTTGCATGCATGTAGCCGCCGTGTGTGTGTGTAAACTGCCCCGTCCCCTTGCACACAGACGGGGGAGAGAGATCTCTCGTCTGGATTGGAAAAATTGAAATGACATCATAGACACATTTTGTATTGTATAAGAGAAACGGAGTTGGCGAAACCAAAACTGCAATATAATGTTTATGTAGCAATAATACATATGACATACATTTTTTAAATGTTCAGTAGTAGCCTACCAATACAAATACCGATAACTTCGGAGCTTAACGGTACCACGGTCTTTAATAATTCAGCTCGGTACCCATCCCTAAACACATATTTTGAGTAGCATTTCAAACTTCTGCACCCAAGATGCTCCAAATGATGAAGTAAATGAATACATGTATACATAAAAGAAATAGTAAATGATATACTCAATATAAAATAATTGTCTTACCTTTCCCCATACGATCCAAATGTCTCTGAAGTGTGAACATACCGTGCCACTGGACCGGTGACTATGTACTTTAGTCTTATAATCGAAGTTAACGTAACAACATGACACACCCACAGTGTGTGTGTGTGTGTGTGTGTGTGTGTGTGTGTGTGTGTGTGTGTGTGTGTGTGTGTGTGTGTGTGTGTGTGTGTGTCTGCGTGTGTGTGTGCGTGTGTTTGCAAACAAGCGCTGTAAAGATGTCACGTTGGACCTTTTGTGGAGAAAAGGAAACCTAACATTGCAGTTTCCTTTTCTCCACAAACGAAAACCTAACAATGCATCCTTTCTCTTACAAATTATTCATGGCTGTGACGATTTTGATTTTAAACTGTCGATATTTCTCCAGAGCATGGATTACATATTTGTTTTGGACTAAAGGCTTTGCATTGAAACTTTACAACATTCACAACAAGATTAGATTGCAAAATGGAGCTAATGTTTAACTATGTTTTGTAAAGATTAATCTGTGTGATGCGAGAAGAGCCCATCACAATTAATTAGGGTCCAACGTGACATCTTTAACATTGTTTTGTCCGACAACTTTTTGACAGGGTATTTATGGATATAATTATTCAATATAATGAATTAATTTGAGGAGCTGGAACCATGTTATATGTACGTTTTTACCTGAAACATGAAAAAAGATCATCAAAATACTTTCCTATTCCTTTTTCCCCATTAAAACAAAGGGAAAAAAGCCCATATCTAAGCACTGAACAATTGTTTTAATAGTTTGAAAAGAGATTGTATTACTCATTTTCAGGGGCGGATCTACGGGGGGGGGCAAGGGGAGGCAGCTGCCCCCCCACTGTAGAGCCTTTCCCCCCCAGCTGCCCCCCTAACTTTTGTTTCCCTAAAACTGTACTAAAACAAACCTACACTATTTCCACAAGCTTCTCAAGCAACAAAACAAGCATTACATTAGTTAAAATTGAATCATTTTAAATATCATTTTAGGCCCGTTAAAAACGCAGCTACGGCCCTGCATTAAACTGCGGAGCGGCGTTCACACAGACCGCGGCTCACACCGCTGCAGAGAGGGAGCGAGCTGTCCCAGCACCTATGGATCAGCTTCCCCTGGGAGCATTTCCCTTTCCACTAGTTTTGTTTTTACTAAGGACGAGAGCTTGAAACTAAATATTAATAAAACGCTGCCGTTTGAATCGATAGCGTTTAACAGACGGGCGCTGTTTCGGGCGTTACGTTACAAAATACTACGCAGACAGCGTTAGCTGGGAGATCGATCACTTTGCTAAACTACGCGGTAGCCTACTATTAAATCCACGTAAACTACACATCACAGCCATGAGGCCAGATCAATGAAACCAGGATACATCCTTTACCGTAAAAACTGGATCCAAACACAGCTGCCTGTGTGCGCTTGATCAATGCTTTCTGATGTTATATTTATGATATGCTACTTAAGTTATTAGCTAGGCTACATGGCCCTAACGTGTAAAGTTATACAAGCATTTGTACCAGTGCTTTTCACAAGTAGACTCTTGCAGGCCAGAGTATAGGAGTGATTCAACAACAACAAAAAGACATATGAGAAACAGAAAGAGGAAAAGGAAAGAGAGATGAAGAGAGCAGGAGGAAGAGGAGGAGATGAAGAGACCAGGAGGGTCAGAGCCGGAGGAAGAGGAGGAGATGAAGACATTAGTGAAGAAGAAGAAGTGTATGTGAGGAATAAAGATGAAGTATCAGAGAGAGGGCCAGAGGCAGGGATCAGGAGGCAGAGGAGACTCCAGCTGGACCACATGGTATGTTCTTATTCTCCTTACATATTCCATTACAGCAGCACAATCTAGCAGCTCTTAGTATTGACAAATATTGATTGAAATGTGTTGCTGCACAGGTCACCTGTAGCTCTCTGAAGAGATGGGTGATGTCATTTGTGTACTTAATTATAATTAAGTACTTACAGTATGCAGAATTCTGAGTATTCTCTGAATCGGGTGCCTTTTGGGTCTTTATATCTTTGAAAAATGAAACCAAAATGTTTGGTCATAACATCTGGTAGTAGTACTTACATGTTCCCACCTCAGGCACAAAATATAAATAATTACTTGGAATTTCCTTGAAAAAATTTAACAGGGTTGAAGTTTTTGACAAAAAGTAGGCATGAGACCTTGTTTAGCTAAGATATGGCACCACATGGAAGCCAAGGACATTACAAAATTGTAATATTTTGCAAAACTATTGTTTATTTTTGTAATAAACAATTATTTACTATTATTAATTCATATAACAGAGTTGAAATGTTGAGTTTGTCAATCTTAATCTGAAAATACAAAAACTGAAATATAGGTAAGAGAAGAAACTGACACTTTTGTGACGTAATTCCCTCAATGCAGATCACACATGGACTGATCCATTATTTTAATAGGAGGGTAAATAATATGGCGTGACGGGGTTGAAACAAACTGAGGGACAATATTGCAATTTCATAGATAATTCAAGTATTTTTTCAGAATTGATTTTTGACCAGTTAAAGTTGACAAGCATATGATTATATTAGCAGCAACATTTTGGGATAATTGGCCATTTTGATTTGTTTAATATTAAATTATTATGTAATAATGCTTAGTGAGGACATGCAAATATGTCTGTCTAAGACAACCAATTTTTTTTTAAACAAAATATATATTTAGTTTGACATTGTAATGCAAAACAACCTGTTCCATTAATTCATTGCTTTAAAATACATTTTGTAGTTTCCTTTCATTTAAAATGGTTGAGGTAAGCTTGGGGGACTCAAAGGGCACCCGATTGTTTGTCTGAACACCTTGTTTCTCTTGTGCATTAAGAACACTTGTGTTAGGGCATGAATTAACAATAAATAGGTTATATACAGTATAAAATACCACGTACTGTCCGCCCTCCTATGCCACCCTGGTATGACCTCTTGCCTCCCCTTTGCCCCCCCATGTAAAATGTTCTAGAACCGCCACTGCTCATTTTGGATATCATGCTTTGTATGGGGCTGAAATCTCAACGTCATAATATGTGTCATACAAAAATAAACAAATTAACCTCTCGAACCAACACATCCTCACTCCCTGGTCGGCCTATGTTGACGTTATGTCAAATCCCCTGTGTCGGCTTTTTCCAACGCAAGGGGGGGGCCCTTAGCGTACATTTTCAACTTTCCGGGATGTCCATAGGCTTCTATATAGCTCCCTAAACGTATGTTGTAGACGACTTGAGATCGCGAGCGAATTGCTACCCGCAGATCCATTCTCACAGCGTTTATCAACCTTTGTCTTACTCAATATCAAGCCACACTTATTGTTTTTACTTCTTTATTTTAATTGAATAATGTAGGACTTTTGTTGCCTTTTGTTATGGGGAGAGTAGGGGCTCAGAATACTGAAATCTGTATCAGTATCTGTATTAATGGACGTGCCGTTGTGCGATTGCGTTGCCAGGCAACGCAATAATTTACAAAGTCTTCAACTACAACCCTAATTATATTTAAAAACATTTTAGAAGGCCTCACGAAATACTTTAATGGAAATTTAAATGGAAATGTGAAGGGATGTGTGCAATGTGGTGATTACATTATTCACCCACGGATCTATGGGTTGGGGTATTGTTCCGCACGGACATTTTAGTTAACCGGACTTCCTGTTGATGTGAAATACGAAAACATTTTTTTTAAATAAAATGATACTTTATTCCGAGTGTGCTTCCTTTTCTCTTTGAAAGTCATCACATAACGGCATTGTAATACACGGTTCGGCTGCATTAAATATGACATATCTGCCGTAGTTCGCTATTTATAGAGCCCTGATGAGAAGACTTCTAGACAAACAGGAACAACTGCCGCCGAAACTGAATATGTGACGTGGATCATAAATATATCAACAATCAAACAAAATCTTCCATTTCTCTTCACACAATACGTCTCCTTGCAGTATCAACACTAATTCGGCTGACTTTTATATTTGATCCAATTGGTAGATAGGCTGTATTTACACCATAACGGTGCACAGCTGATAGAAAGGGACACCTGGTGGTTAAAGCACGTTATTGAAATGTATTATTTTGATTATTAGATATTAATAGGAAACACAGACAGACAAACTAATAAGGCTTTATTTAAACATTAAAGAATACTTTAGGTTAAGGTCTTATTTTGAATAAGAAAAAAGCTTTGGGGGTATAAATAAGCCTGACAAAGTACTAATATGTTGCTTTCCTGCAATGTTAACTGCTGTATGTGTAAGCCAGGGTTGCCAACTCTCACGCATCTGGCGTGTGACACACGCTTTCACTCTCAATCTCACGCTCTCACGCTGCCCAAACTATTCTCACGCCAAAAACAAGAATACCGAAGACTAGAAACGGTTTTGAAAACTTTTGTCAGGTAGTGATCGTCTTCTCAATAGAACATCTTTGATAATGTCTTCTGGCCAATCAGAATCAAGATAACGGCGTGGTGTTGTTGCAGGAAGTCCCGACGGAGAATACTTTTGCTGTAGTACATCTCTATATACATCGATACAACATTACGTGTTGATAGAAATCAACACGTAATGAAATAAGACCCCACGGTTTGATGATTGATAGGTGCAGGGACGTGCACAGGTACGGGCTAATGTTGCCAGGGCAACGGCCCGTTTGGCCTTTTTGGCTGACCTGCCCCTCTGGAGAGAGCGAGAGTTTATTTTTATTTTTTCTGTTGTGGCCGAATCAACATGATCGAGGATCTCATTATTTGACCTTAAGGGATATAGGCCTACACTGTGGCCCTAAAGCAACTGCTCCATTATCTGTATCAAATGCAGACATTGATGCCACCAAATGTCAAAATAAAAATAGAAAGTACTACAAATAAACTGGAATTCATTTACATCTTAAATTATGAATATATATACACAAAAAAAGGTTTACAAATATCCAACCTTCAAATTGCTTTTTTAAATCAACACTGCTCTGCACACTTGCTAAAGAACATTTGTCTGGAAATCTCAATTTATTTGTAGGGCTGCGTGAGTATGGCCAAAAGTATGGGAGTAAATCTCACTGTAAACTATTTAATCATCACCAAATTCTGTGTTATTATGACCGATCATAACTCAGCTTTATGCAGACATATTTAGCATGATGTACAGGGCCGCTTCTTGGCATAGGCGACATAGGCGGTCGCCTAGAGCGCCAGATCTGGGGGTGGGGGGGCTGCGCTGGCAGCTCTGGGAGGGAAAAAACATTTTTACTGTTTGCGCTCATCCTAATTTTCGGCCTTGATGTAACAACATTCATAATTAAGTCAAGGTAACACCCTTTTCACCCCGGTTACACTTTTCATTTGCCCTGTACGATGGACGCTTTAAGTGATGAAAGTGGGGGGTGTTGGCTTATCAGGCGTCCGCAGCTCACAGCCAAAGAGGGTGTGGGATCGAGCGAGAGAGATAAATGCAATTTATGTAAACAAATATTTCCAAGGCACTCTTTTATAATTATTGGGGTCAACAGGTTTGAAATCATTTCAATGTATACTATAGGACAGAAAACCAAACATATCGTTTAAAACTTGAGAGATACAAAAATATGCATAAACGTTAACTAGGTAAAATAAGATATGAATGAACAACAAAAATAAAATAAGTTGCATTTATTTGCTATTGGCTATGGTAGGTTATTGGTTATGTTCACATACTTATTTGATTATTAAAATGTAAACCAATCTTTTTCATATGGGTGTTTAGAGTTGTACCCCTATAGGTCAGGTCTCTAGTAATGTGTGCTCAAAGTGCACCCGATTGAAGCATTTTACTTTAAATGTTCAAACATTTCTTCCTGGGGGGGCATACCCCCGGTCCCCCCTAGAGGATGTGATGTCCACACCCCAATTCAAACATGTTCCTACAATACCGAATACATTTGAAGCCTTTTTGATGTATATTACCAACATGTCAATACGTTTCTGTTTTTGTAGTATATTGGTCTTTTGTAGAGATTTTTTCATTTATTCTTTATATATTCTATTGTGTATTCCTTGGGTACTTTTAGCTTTTCTATTGTACGATTGAAGTAAATGTGGGAAGCGTTTAACAACAGCCATTTACTTCAAAGATAGTTTGCAATGTTATTCTTATTTTTGTTAATCCTGGAAGAATGCCAGAAAAAAAGACATTTTCTTCAAGAATAAAAAAAAACATGACATTAGTAATTGTGAAAACAAATTAAATAAGTTTTTAGGTTAAGTCAGGGCCGGTTTTTGGCATAGGCGACATAGATGTTCGCCTAGGGCGCCAGATCTGGGGGGGGGGGCGCTGCGCTGGCAGCTCTGGGAGGGAAAAAAACATTTTGACTGTTTGCGCTCATCCTAATTTTTGGCCTTGATGTAACAGCATTCATAATTAAGTCAAGGTAACACCCTTTTCATCCCGGTTACACTTTTCATTTGCCCCGTACGATGCGCACTGTAATTGATGAAAGTGGGGGGTGTTGGCTTATCAGGCGTCCGCAGCTCACAGCCAAAGTGGGTGTAGGATCGAGCGAGAGAGATAAATGCAATTTATGTAAACACATATTTCCAAGGCACTCTTTTATAATTATTGGGGTAAACAGGTTTGAAATCATTTCAATGTATACTATAGGACAGTAAACCAAAAATATTGTTTAAAACTTGAGAGATACAAAAATATGCATAAATAAATGTTAACTAGGTAAATAAGATATGAATGAACAACAAAAATAAAATAAGTTGCATTTATTTGCTATTGGTTATGTTCACATACTTATTTGATTATTA